TACTAATTCTACTACTACTACTACTACTGCTGCTGCTGCTACTACTACTGCTACTACTACTACTACTACTTCTACTTCTACTTCTACTTCTACTTTTACTACTACGGGACTGTGACTCCTACCGCTACTGCTACTCTAAATTCCACACTACAGCACATTACATTGATACAAGCGCACCTGCGCTTGAAGCACTCCAGCGTTCAGCTGCAGCGGGAGGATATCCGCAGCACCTACGAAGAGGGCCTCGTTTGTGACCTGAGTGCATCAAAAGGCTTCCCCTCCAGCTGTGTTTCGTCCGAGCTCCTTGGAACGCCAGCCTTCCTAGAGACTTCGGTGAAGAATGCTAACTGCTACAAACTTGCTTCCTTTGACCTGTCTGCATTAAATTTTGGGCAACAGCTCCTGCGATGCTATTATCGCGAACGAGGTGCTTCCGCTAATTAATCCGTTCGCGTGCTTCCAAAAATGCAGACTGGGATGCAAACGTCGGAAAGATCTGTGGAATATTCGGTGTACATAAGTATGTTCTGACAGCCGCAGCGACGGCCCCATAGCAAGTCCGCGAAAACCAGAACTGCAACTGAGGGCTCCACTAGCATGGAGGCGAACGCCCTCAAAAGGCTGACCAACCTCACTTCTGTGGTCTGAACATACTTGAACTGCATTTCATGTATGCTTTGTTGACATACCTTTGCCACAACCACAACCACATCTGCCAAACATGCCTGAGAAGTCTTGGTTTGGCACTGTTCCTGTCATTCAAAGGATGAGAGAATCTGATCAAGGCACTCCTTGGCCTTGAAGTCCGTGACCATTCGGCTGGCTTGCTGGGCTGCTGTGTCTCCCTGCAAACAACAGAGTCTTTTGTTAGGTCTGCCCTGCCTATGTGGTGCCTTGTTGCATGCTGGGCTTCTTCGCAGAATACTCTTGCCTATCGGGTATAAACAGGTAAAATCCAAGCAAGGCAGCTTGCACTACTTGCTTCTATTGTGAAAACTCACGGTCGAAGGACACGAGCGTTTTTCAACACCCTTATAGCAAGGCCTCAAATGCAGGCAACTCCACCCTCTGCTTCGTGAATGGACTGAAGCCTATGCCAGCCAGCACCCAACAAAAACGCCTAACAAGTTCATCAACAATACTCCGCTCCCCTAATAATCAAACCCTCACCTCTGAATAACACATATTCCAAATATTCCCAATACTCTCTTAATGATGTAATGTCTGAAATTGGGAATGTTTAGTTTATTGTAGGGGGTTGGGGGGGTTATTCCTGATGTAGACCCTGGTTAATCCCAGTTTCCATATTATTTTTCATTTGCTTCTAAGTGTAATCAGGGAAAAGAACTTAACAGTGTGGATTGCTAAGCACTTTGGATTGCTCCTGGCCTGTTTCCAGAGTGCCTCAGACGGTGGCTCCTTTGTGAGTCGCCTGAGATTCTGGTAAAGGTAGTGTGTTGGGGTTTACAAGGAGGGCCACGCTTTTTGGAGATCCCATATATGGCTCTGCCTTGATGTACTATACTTGGCCCTCTGAAAAGTTCTCTGTTTGGTACAATGATTTGCGCGCTGAGCTCATGAGCCTTGATGAGAACTCTTCGCATGTATCACAACTTTGCGGGAGACTGGCAGTTGATCATTAGTTTGGGACCCCCTTTGAAATGAGATGCTCCAGAAGTCCTGAAACCAACGCACGCCTCAAAGTGTCAAGTACTGACACGTATCAGATCCTGCGAAGCTCCAAGCCCCACATCCTAGATGGAAACCTTGCAGCACGACCCCGATAGCAACCTCGCACACCTCGACGGACAACTTCCTAGAACGCTGGGAGGAGTTCTTTTTGGATGCTTCCTCCGAACATCAACATCTGAAACTCTGACTACCTGTGACACCCTTCGACCCACGAGCTGTAAGAAGAGGTACCAAACGGCATGGTGCAAATCGGTGGGAGTAGCATTGGAGACCTCCACTCCTGGCAAAGTTCAGGTGCACTACGGTGAGTGGGGAAACTTCCTTGCCGAAAGTCATAATATGTTGCCTGCAGGCAGTGGGGATCTAGACCGAGGGCTACCCCTATAGAGCTTATACTTACACAAGCAACCCCATCCTGAACCTGGCTGATGGTGTGTCTCAGACTCTCGAATTCCAGTGTCTGTGGCAACAGAAGGCTTCATGCCGTTTGCGGGGCTCCTGCAGTGGCCGCCGCGAGTTCTAGGACCATACGCCATTGCAGCCCGTTCTCACACACTGTAATCACCTTGGCAGTGTCTTTCAATCAATGACTGGTTGCAACCACATGGTCAGCTGAGGTGTCAGCCGTATTGTTTGTGATGCTACCGGGCTGGATGGTGGTGGCCCGCATACCCGAGAAGAGAAACAATGCGGATGACCAGCTTGCTGATCTGGCGCATGCGCCTATGGCCGCGTTGTATGTGATGCGGTCTCGGACAACTCGAACCGCTGCCATGTCCTGCAGAAGAGCCAGCGCCAACAGCCATTGACCACACTTCTCACAGGCACTGATTGCTGCGTTGTAGCTGTTCAGGCCTGATAACATGTGCATGCGCATGTCCTGCAGCAGAGCAACAGCATGCTGCCACCGGAAGGCCTTCTCACAGGCACTGATTGTGGCAGAGTAGCTGGCATCCGTGGGACGCATGGATGACTTGACTTGATACAGGAAATCAATAGCCAGCAGCCACTCGCCAGCCCTGCCACAGGCACTGATGACTGTGTTGAAGCAAATGACGTCCCGGTCCAGGCCGTTCCTCCGCATCTCCTCGAAGACAGCGATCGCTTCCTGCCATAGGCCATCCTTTGCAATTGCAGCAAGAGCTTGACTAAAGCTCAGCGAGGTAGGTGGGAGCGACGTCTCATCCATGACGGTCAGCTGGTGCAAAGCATGTACCCATCTGCTGCCCGCAGCAAAAGAGCCCAGCGCAGAATTCTGAGTGACCTCATTGTGGGGAATGTGTTGTTGCGGCATGCAGTTAAAGAGTCCAATAGCCACCTCCCATGCATTGCACTCTCTGCAGCCGCTCATCGAGGCCGAGCAGTGGAAAGCATTAATTTCCACATGCCCGTTCCTCATCCTGGGCAGCTCTTCAGACGGCGTTCCAAGTGGGATGAGATGGACTGTTATTGGGTGGCATGCTTTAATGAGAGTTCCATCATGCGAACGCGAGGAAATTCCACAAGAAATCTGAAGTGAGTCAGCACTACAGTCGGATGCTGTGCAAGTGTTCTTCCACATCTGAAAAAGCTTCCTCAACGGTCACCCTAGCCGCAGAGCGAGGAGATGCTTCACCCCCTCCGGCTTGGAAGCACGAAGGGCTGCTGTGGCCAAGCGGGGATCCTGTTTCCATCTCCTGGGTGTTCAGAATGCTTGCAAAAGTCAGGGGGACAGCGATGATAGCTGGAAACATAAGCGCACCGCACCGCCCAGAGGCAGCAGCAGTTTCAGCTGCCGCGGCGGCGGTGGCAGCAGCGGTGGGATGAGCCCCGGCGACAAGAGCAATGATATGGGTAATATAAGCTAGGAATACAACAGTATCAACAGCCTCTTAAGATGCTGATTTTGCGCAGGGCTATAAGCCATGGAGTTGGAGCGCCTCAGGATCAGAGTTTTGAAGTTACATGGCTTGCGCCATGAGGGTAGGGCAGCTCATCAGAATCAGATAGATTACAAAGACCAAGCAAGCCCTGATCAGTCCTGAAGTGAATCTACACTTTTCTAGGAGAGGGATTACAATGCTATGGAATACCCAAATACAGCATATCGCCCTACAAAACTTGTAGGCCCAGCGTAGTGGCTACCGGTACGAACTCCGTCTCTGGGTAGGGTCCCAAGCTTC